AATGATGTCATTGCTGTAGTAAACATTGTCTTTACTCTAATTAACAAAATTTTAATTAGATTTTGACAAATAGCCGAAATTAAAACAATTACAACAAGATCTGCGAAATATTATTATTCTTATTCCATCAAATGTACAAAAGACTGAGCTATCTAAGGAAGAAATATGTGCTAAATCACAATTGTTTAAGGCGGCTGAATCATTAAGGCGGCCATGGTGTAAAATTGTGGAATTGATGGAAGATGATTCTAAGAGTAAATCTATGGGGAAAATTTGTACTGTTATTAAAGAAACAATAGAAGAAATTACTTTATGTTTAGATATAGTATGCGTCAATTTTCACCAATATAAGGTATGGGCAATAGTATGGATTAAAAGGGTATCATTATGTGAAATTCCTTTTCAATTGAATTATAATTAATAGTACGTATTTTGCTGATTTTGGCCTATTTATAGAGTCATTTGTCTCATAAAAATTCAGATTATCTAGATCCAGACAAAGCTTCCCTAATTGCTATCAGTTTATATGAAGACCTTTCTAGGTTCACACTTGCTTTCTATAAAACAAACTCCTTAAGGACATGTATTTGTTATATCGAAAAGGCACTCCAAATTGCACATAAAACTTCTTGCCATGAAGGGCTTCTGTGGATCTCTAATTCTTATTATCGAATAGGTGCCTTCTATCATAACAATAACCAAGCTCAGCTTGCGATCGAACCAATACAAAATGCATGTACAATTTTGGACAAATATATGTGTAAAATACAACAGACAAGTAATAGAACTTCAAAAAGCATGGTGGCAATTCAGGCACAGTTGAGCAAAAGGTATGAAGCCTTAGGAGCCTGCTGGAATACATTGGGTGAAACCAAGGTTTGTAGATAATTAATTGATTTTGGATGTTCACCGAAGAAATACTTTCTAAAGAGACGCATTCTTCTATAAAATTTTGATAAGAATGCTCGTATTTCATTTGAGAATTCTCTTAGATGTTTTCCGAAAAGTGAATTAATTCACCTTTCGGAACTGGTTTCGACACAAGGAATATTTTCTGCGTTTCAACAAGCATCAACTGTTTCAAAGTTAATTGAACGATATATTAAATTGTCATTTGTTGATGACCTGGACATCAATGTTTCATTGCCACACGAAATTTTGTTAGGCGATAATATAGAATTAGCAGGACTAATGGAATATGAATTGCGTGTGTTAAAAGCATTTGAGGATAAACTGAGCGGTTCAAAAGTAGAAGCACTATTAATTGAAAAACTATTGGTATTATATTGTCGA